AAACTCGTTGTTTCTCGTCCTTCTCCTGCCAGTAATATGATCTTGCGTCGCAGTCCACAAGCTGAAGAGGAGCCTGACATGTGGTTAGTGGGCAATTCTTGCTCTTCTGGCTGTCCCGGGTGTGGATCTTCGGTCGTATCAGCGATGTACATGTCGGATTGGTACAGATGATCGCTCCCAAGCACTTGTTGGTTCCGACCTTGCCCCCATGTCGAGTTCTAAAGCCATAGTTCCGCCATGCCCATTTATTTCTCTGTGGCGCGACGGAAGCCTTCTCCGAAAGCAAGCATCGTCGAAAAACCGATCCCTGAGGATAGTATTTCGCATCCAGATTCGTTGGTTTGGTGTCGGAATTGCTTGTCTTGACTGAACCGTCAGAGGATTCGGTGTCAGTTGCGCTGTATACGTCTAGCCAGGGTCACGATTAGCTTAGAGAGTCCAATGAGAACCAACACCCGGGAGGCACGTACCATCCTCATCTGACCCTAATGGTATCCTTGCTCTCTTCTTCCCCTTTCCTGGACCTCGCTTTGCTCGATAAGGTGCTTCAAGTACAGTTCTCCCTTCACCTACGCCCTCCCTCCGTGCCGAGGCATGATTCCTAGATTCAATAGATATAAAAAGAAAGACCATCAGAATGTTCATGGATTGAACTTACCCAACTGGGCGGGGATGTGCAGTATGAGACGGAGGTTGAGTGTATGGGTAGTGATACATCGGCGGGTGGAATTGAGGCGGAGGCATTCCAGTTGTTTCGCTCTGGCTTTGAGGAGGGAATGGAGCATATCGATACTGATATCCGTGAGTGTGCAGCACTATACATCTCTAAGTCAGAATGCTATTAAGAAGAAGGTGGCAAATACCTGGTGGGTATGGTGGATATGGTGGATATGGCCATGGCAGAGAACGTGCAGGACCATACAGCTCCGAGGAAGTGTCATGTCTTTTCTTCTTGCGGGCTTTTCTTGAACGGCGTCGAGGTGACCCATCTGAGTCCGATGATTCTTCCTCACCAGTACTTGATGAACTCTGCCCTAAAAGGCCTCGAAGAAAGCCCTTCAGTCGCCGAAACATTGTGCGCCAACTCGAGGTTATGTTCAGCAGAGAGAAAACCGACGATTGTTCATGTCTCCGGCTTGAGCACGTGAGGAAAGCGGAAGTAAAATGACTCAGGGGTGCTGGAAGCTCCAAACGGATGTATTCTGCTGAAGGGATACGCATAAACATCCTTCAAATAGACACTTACTAGGAATTGAGCACAGGGACATCATGTACCTCACAAGTTGAGGCAGTTAGCTACAAACTTTGACAGCAAAGACCGCCAAAGTGTTGAAGGCCTGAGGTGCGTTATCCATATTAAAAGATACAGGGAAGACAGCAGCGAGTAAATCCAGATCCAGGGTCCATACAAGACAAGAAACAGAGCTCAGAGGGCGTACACCATGTAGACCAGCAAGATCTCCCGAATCCTGAAGAAGCAGCAAGACCGAGCCGCGAAACAAGTATCCAGACAGTATGTCGCCAATGCAGCATGAAGAGAGTATGCCAGAGAAACGTAGAAAGCCCTTGTTTACCATTCAGGTCGCCAGCTCAACGTTCGACGTTGAGAGAAAGGAACGCTGACATTGAACACGTGCCCGCGCGTTGCAGCTTCCATTCGAACCTTAGAAGTCCGACGCGCCCATCGACTTGACTTACCATCGAGCAAACTACAGACTACAGCACACAATCACCATACACAGCATACTTAATTCTACTTTATACTGGCCCAGTACTAGAATTTTGTCTGCAAGTACTCAGATGTACTGTACTGTACTGTGATGTACTTGCAGGCTACGGGTACGGGTACGGTAAAAGTAGCTTGAATAGGGGCCAAAGTACGTACTTGCGCGTACTTGCGCGCGAACAAGTACGGCGCCAGCTACTTCCTTGACCACCGTCAGGAGTTTCACGGTGTATGCGACACGACAGGGATCGAACCTGCGCTAATTGGTGGATACCCAATACGGGAGACGTAATATGCTGTCGTACCCCCTTGAGCTAACGCGTCCTGTTCATGGGTCCCCCAATTCAAATTCGTGTGCTCTACAGAGGCTAAAGATATGCGGGGGAGGAGGCTTTCGGTATGTCTTTCTCCCTGACCTGTAATATGGCGAATCGTCTTTGGTCCAAATGCTAGGTCGACGTGAGTTGGTTCCTTCTAGCCCAAACGCCATTCTACGATGCCACTGATTGATGGTGGGCGTTGAAGGTATATCGCCCAGGTCAACTTTCATATCGATTTTTACTTTGCAGTAGAGGTTGTATTTGTAAAATTTGGGCTGACATCCAAGCTTGACACCGGCCTTTCACCTCTCTAGGCTCGTCTGAGGCCTCGTACAATTGGGTTCAATGTGTTCGGCTACGTCTATTATAGACTGCAGCGAGTGAAGCTAAAGTTGATAAAAACCTCGCAGAAGTGACCTACAAGTGACATTAGCATGACTCGAACCCGCACCACTTGTTGCTACACCCGGCACCGTGGGGAGACGGATGTATTCTCTTGGGCCCATAATCCTCAAAAATAGGTGTGCTTCCTTGAGCCGAAATGGATTTGGCGTCTTAGAGCTGTCAATGCCTGCCTATAGCTTTGGAGCTATTTGGGCGGACACAGGTGGCCTTCTATTGCAAAGGTGCATTTACTAGGCAGTAACGGGAAGGTCAAGTTACATCAAAGAATTGCTTCGACTGGACTTTTCCGGGCTAATTATTATGACGCTATATCCCAGGTCTGTCAATACTTGGAATGGTGCAGGAATTTGCTAAAAACATTTCAGGAGAACTGGCATCAACACGAGTAGGACTTGAACCTACTTCTCCAGACAAACGTCTATCCTACCACTTTGATAATGGTTTCTGGTACCTTACCGATAGGCCATCGCGTCATCATCTTAGCGTGGCGTGAAAAAAGCCGCGATAGGAGTGGCGGGAATGCATGACACACGGCGAGACACGCGGCAGGCAGATAGTAGTGGTGTGCAGTTATGATAAAATTGAGGATTCTTGCGTTGCATAAGTCGAGTTCTGACTGTCGCCTGGAATTGACTCTACCCAATTTAAGGAGTTTGCCCCAATGGTAGGCGACGCGCTCTCGCGTATAGAATAGGGGCCGATCAACATGGAATCGCCGCTTCAGCCAATTCTGCAGCGACGTTCTCAGCATCGACCATCTCTCACTCTGGCTCCATTGATCGCTCTCAGTCCTCCTTGTATCTCTCAGAATAAGTAGTCTCGACATGGCATAGAAGAATGGCGTCATTACGACCCCTCAAAATGCCTGGAAGTGTGATAGGTGTGTCTCGCGGTTTCTCAATGTTTTTTTTAGATGTAGACCTCAAATACTACTTAATGATAGGCCGATGATAGCGACTCTTTCGAATATAAGACGTAACTGCTCTATTTGCTGACCCATGCTCTCGGACATCGCGGTTCTTTCGAAACCGCCTCGCCGAACTCCACCTCCAGGTCGAGCACCATTCGACGGCGGTAGTCCAGATCAACACTTCCCATTGTACTGTTGCTTCTCCGAGATTCGCACCACTCAAAAATCCACGTACGTCGCTGCCTTTTCCGGTTGGCCACCGTTTTTTTGTCTCTGATGAGTATGTCCCACCTATTCAAACCCACCGGGGAGGCTTGCGTGGCTGCATCACTTGCGTTTCCTACTCTTTTGTGCTTCGATCGACAAAGAAAAACTACGCTGGATAGATTGTGAGGGCGACATGCGACACGGCAGGACTCGAACTTGCGCCAATTCGTGGATAGCCAGTACGTCATGGGGAGGTACTATCTTATGGTATCCTCTTGAGCTAATGCGTCTTGTTCATGTCTTGGGCTCAGAAGGACCAAATCGTTTATTTTACAAAGGTTAATGATTAATGATCCGCGAGGGCTGAAAAGTGCCTATCTTTCGATTGTGTCTGAATCTGGCCTCCTTGGCTCAATTCGACGCTCTGCTCATCACTGCCCCTTCGCTCATTTGTCTACCTGTTGTCTGGGAAGCACTGCAAGTGCTCTGCTATGTCCATCTAATGCTCTATTTCTATCCTCCTCGAGTCTCGTATCCTTTCCTCCAGGGTTCGAACATGGGTCAGGTGACGGGTCTCCAGCAAGTCTTGCATATCTCCCAACGTGGGTTATGGTGTCTTGCATACGCTCCAGTGGCGCTGTACTCGACATGGCTCACAAGGCGGATAAATCGAGGGTAAATCGGGTCGGCCTCGCCTGCTTGTTGAGGCATTGATCTCCATTGAAGTTCTAGCCGCTCAGCAGCAACAAACGGTCTGGATGAATATGTATTGCGATATTAAGGCGCAATAGCCAAGCAGTAACGATAAGCTCACGGGCTCTGATCCATCTGCAAGAGGCTTCTCAGGTTCGACTCCTGTGTTCAATGATCATTGCATCAGTGTGATTCGAAATCGATTTTTTTTTGGCAGAGCGCTGTATGGTCAGCTTTGGGCGTTTATGGTGGAAGGACCACTCTAAGCCGTTGGTATATTGGCTACAATAGGAGAAGAAGGAATAGTTCAGAGATTGGGAGACATTTGATGTGGCTCGGCCCTTCCCATGAGTCGCCAATGCCTTTCCCCTCGCGGTCTCGTTACCCACTTACCTTTGGGTCAGTATGCTAACAAGGGTAGAATAAGTAATAGGGGATTCACAAGCTGTAATGAAGCCAATATAAGCTGTTTTGACACATATGGTCTGAATACTGCACGTGTCCACTGCTTCCGACGTGTACTCTGTTGTTATCAAGATGAACAGTTCCTTTCTACGTGTATATTTGCTACTGATAAAGGAGAAATTGACAAGAATATTCACAGGGGCATCGCCAGTTCGGGACTTTCAGTCCTTGGTTAATCTTCTTGGTAATCTTCTTTGACAGTGACCCTAAAAACGCGACATTTCCTGCTCCTGGTATTTACGGCCTTCACTAAGTGTGAATAGGGTCTAGCAGAGACACAATGGCCGAGCGGTTCAAGGCAATAGGCTGGTTTTCCGTGAAGCAGGCAATTGAATATGCGCCTTGTTCATGCAGGTTCGATTCCTGCTCGTGTCATTCACTCCAGGGCGAATGTAGATTTTGTTGCTGCCAATGATGTATTTCGTCCACGCTGGAGCTTTTCAAGCCTTAAAATCCTCAGCCCCTACACTTATGAACAAGGCAGGATGCATGTAGCATATAGTGACCTGACGTACTATCAAAGCATTAAAAGCGTATTGACCAGATCGAAGCAGCGCGAGTAGGAGTCGAACCTACTTCGTCTTGAATAAACGGGTGCTTGACGCCTCTGATGATGGTTCATCTAGCATGTTACCGTCAGATTACCGCGTCTCCCTAGACTTCGAGATTCTCAACTGTATCTGTCAAAGATGAAAGATCAGCGTCAAGGGTTCTTAAGCAAAGCATGTTGAAGGGATTGCAAGTGTGCTCTTGCAGAAGGGCGCGATGGCCAAGTGGTCATCTTAGATCAGGTTCGACTCCTGCACGTCTCTGTGAATATCGGGTTAAGCATGCTGCATTTGTAGTTTTTTTTTTCTTTGAAAGGGAGACTTGTTGCTTCTCGGATCTCAGATTGTACTGTACCATTTCTTACCTGTCGGATGTCAGTAGTGAGCTTAAGCGGTGACTCGGAAATATATGCAGTACCATCCAAGACGCAATGGCCAAGCCAGATTTGTAGGCGTTGAGCAAAGCTATTGGGGTACGTAGGTTCGAATACTGCTGGTGTTGCTCCTCAAAGATTATGATTGTGTAAAATATTGTTTAATTAATAGTCGCTTGCAGGCTCCAGTACATTGAGATATGACGAGCGTTCCCCATCCTTGGCCTCTTCGGCGCATAGTGTTGTGCACTTACAGATTGGTTTTTACTTCTTCTTTGTTCTTCCGTGCGAGAACCAGGCTCCAGGACCACTTACAACTAGTCGAGGAAATAGCCGGCCACTTGAGTTTTTAAGTCACGATGGCCGAGCTGCCAGTGGAGACTCTACAGGCGGTACAGTGGTTCTGATTAAGCAGGTTCGAATCCCGTTCGTGTCAATGAGGAATGGCTATGGTGACCTTTCATTGATTTTTACCTCCTATCTGGTTGCTTATAACAAGCTGAACAATCCGAGTACTTGTGAGATCAAACGGGCGACCACGTTTTGCAGTGAGAAACCCCATTCGCATTCGCGTTCTCAATTGTGAACGGAATTCTGGGTTGATGTAATGGGCTGGGAAACGGAGATTCGCTGCATACAAATTGGAGGTGGCGAGGTTTCTTGGGGATGTCCAGCAATGCTCGCGAGGGAGAACGTGGTGTCGAAGCCTCCCTGGTGCAAATAATGGTGGTCGACGCATCATATATCAAATTGCCATTACGCTTGAGCTCTTCAATCTGGCGTGGGTTCCCAATTACAACCATGTCCTTAATGTCCACCACCCCTCCCCCTGGTTTTCATCGATCGCTCCCTGTCCTTCCTCTGCCTCCCAGCTCAATGTGATATAGGACAATGCCAACGATGTAGCCAACCTAAAACACCTTGTCGCGTCTCCCAGCATGGCTCAATTTAGTCGATGGTTCAGATACAGAACGTCGCTTGTGCCTCCTCAACTAAACTACATCATCTGGATCCGGAGCCTCATTGGCTCCTTCGGCAGATTCGCCATTGGACAGATCATGTTCACCCGAAGCTCGTACTTTGTCGACATGGGCGTTCCGCCTCTCATCGCGTCGTATGTGCGTCCATGTCCAAGACCTGGTCCACGAAAAGTACTGAAACAATTGTACAGGGAGCCTCCGCAGTACTCATTTACGGCGTTTCTTGACGCCCCCCTCTCTCAACCTCGCGCACTGATAGGCGGCCACTTCCCCTACACCATCCTCGGCACTGTCATCTCAAAGCTCGTCCTCCTCCCTCCGGATCGCTGCACATCTCTCCAATTTCTCGCCTCGTTACTATCCACAGCCAACGCGATCGTCCTCGTGCAAATGACGGGTACCTCTCATCCTTCAGCAGGCGCTCTGGCTCTCATTCAAATATTGGACGATAGAGTGAGAGGTTGTGCTGTTGACGAGCATGACCGCGGGCGTGTGGCGATGGGACAAATACTGTGAGTAGAAGGTGGCCGGTGTGGTGGATTGGCAGGTGACCTGTTCCTGCCCAATCGAACCCTGGAGCGTCCGTCGCACGGGCATAGCAGCAGTCAGCTTCTTTGACCTAAGGTCAATAATTTTTCGAACGAGGTTTGATGATGATACAGACCCGGGTGTAACCTTAATCGTTTTATAGAAGAACAAAAGATACTATCACTCCAGGAATCCATGATGCGAGCAGGATTCGAACCTGAACCAGGCTGAAAGCCATGCTACCCGCAAGGGGCTTGCCGTATGCGTTCGGTTGCTTCCAGCCTTCCAACAATACCACTGATTGACGTCGCCGCTCCGTAATGTCTAGACAGCAGCGATTCAAGGTAAACTCGGTTCAAAACTGTTGGAACATACCTGTTAGTGACATTAGCAGGATTCGAAACTGCACCAATTGCCATTCAACAGTGTATCAGCGCTGGAGGAAAAGATGGGTCTCGGAGAAGAGAAGGAAGAAAAAACATTACCTTATCCAATTATGCGGCAGGGGATACAGACGAGACTCGAACTCGCCTCCAGGAGCGCCACAGGTGAAATGGCGTATGTGCTCCACTGGCAATTAGACCGTTGTACCCTATGTCAATGTTAGCACTATACCTTTGGCTTATCGGGTTCAACTCCTGTTCATTGCTGTACCATCCTGGGAAAGGCTGCCCGTTCTCGAAGGGATGGCGCCCAGCAGGTGTTTCTCAAGCATGATTGTCTGCTTGATGCTGATGTTCGTTGAACCAATAAGAGCAGTGGTTGAATGGATTGGGAAACCGTTTTCGAGCTGGCCTGGTGAGTCATTGAGCAAATTACATCCAAGTCGAATGAGTGATATCACTATCCGTAATTTACTCTCCTCACCAACTCCTCACGTCAAGAATATATCCGTGTTTTCCAACAAGACTTGTGTTTCAGTAGTGGATGGAATCTTGTGCTTTATACCCACTGAGCACTTCGACGCAGCCTTCACTTATGTCTAGTATCTACATGTCTGACTGCGCAAGAACATATCGTACATAGCCTCGCCGTTATGACGCCCTAAATCATAATCCCAGGTCTTTCACCCATTGGAAAGGTGAAGAAATTCGATAAAAGCTCGAGTCCACAGATATTGACACGAGTAGGGCTCGAACCTACTTCCCCAGACCATATTTGTTTTATTGCTTCAACATGACAAGGCGTCTGGTGCCTTACCAATAGGCCATTGCTCCTTCATCTCCTAGCTTGACCGGGACTGTGATTGAGATAGAGGTGGCAGGAACCGCATGACGCAAAGCGAGACGCGTGGTAGGCAGATAGTAATGGTATGTTTACGCTGTCGCCTGTAATTGATTGAAGTCATGTAAAGGAGTTTGGGGGCAAGCGCTAGACGACGCGCTCGGGGCTTGCGAGCACGGACTAGTGGCTGGGATCAAATCGCCACTGGAAGTTGGGGGCCATCCCGCATCAACGCTATGATTATGAACCAATTCTACATCTATGTCCTGAACGTCGACCATCTCTCACTCTGGTTTCATGGAACACCCCTCTCTCTTTCCTATATCTCTCAGACTAAGCAAAGTCAGCTCGACCTAGAGGAATGACACCGACGCAGATGCCTTGTCGCGTCTCCCAGCAGCGTTCAGTCAATGGTTCGGCTACAGGGCGTCTCCCGTTCCTCCCCTGCCAAACCACATCATCTGGATCTGGAGCCTCATAGTTTCCTTGATTTGCCATTCTGCATGTCATGTTCACCCGAAGCTCGTACTTTGCCAACAAGGGTGTTCCTCCTCGCATCGCTTCCTATGTGCGCCTCTCCTCTCTCTGATCTCCCGCTCGATGAACACGACTGAAATCGTCATGCAGGTAGCATTGGCATTCTTGATCTATGGTGTCCTCGACAGCCCTCTCGCTCAACCCTGCGCACTCATAGGCGGCCACGTCCTCTCCGGCACCTATCCAAGGTCTTCCTCCTACGCCCTCCTGACCGCGTCACATCTTTCCAGTTCCTCGCTTCCTCACTATCCACAGCAACAGCTACTGTCCTCATGCAAATGACAGGCACCTCCCATCCACCTGCGGGCGCCACAGCGCTCATTCCAATCTTGGATGACCGAGTAAGAGCGCTGGATGGGATTATGTGTGGATGGTGCTGTTGACGAGTACAGTTATGGGTGCCGTGGCGATGGCGACGAATAATGTGAGGAGGTGGCCTGTTTGGTGGATCGGTCTGCCGGCGCCTGTTCCTGGGACTCTTGTGTGGCCAGCTGTGGGAGGGAAGGAAGGTGGAAAGTTGGAGAAGAAAGAAAACAGCGACGACAACGATGGGGACTGGAGGATCGGCTGTGATTCCTACGAGAGACCCAACTTTGCTCTCTTTGTTGAGAGACGACGGAGAACATACAGAGCCAAAGGAAGAGGTTTAATTAGGTGCGTCGCATTTGTCGTTGTGCATCTCACTCGTTCTAACCGAGGTCTAGATCTATACCTCTAATATCATCCAATAGATTAATCATAGCAGCGCCTTCAATATACGACGTACCTGATCTGTTCGCGGATGCAAGCTCTCGGACATCACAGGCCGAGCAGACGATTCAACGGTGGTGGCCCATGTACCTGCTTCCTCACCCCGACCTTGCTCCTTCGAGCTCACCGCCTCATCAGGGGCCACTACGCGGCGCGGTATGACCCGATGGGATCGATCGGCCTCTCCCGCCCTGACATTATATAGTCAATGATTACCACATTGTTACCAGTTACTGGGAAGGCCCGTCTTATAGAGGTCCTCTGACCGCGCTAACGTCACTGATAACATATATTTAGGTCCTGAAGAGGGCGCTATCAGCGACAAGGCAGAATTGGCCCACTGGCAACCGAACGGCCAACCCCTGCTCAACCACCCGCCTAGAAGATATCTCCGATCATGCTGGGGTCAAGATATCAGCTTACTTCTCGGGCTGGCCGAACCTTCGTCGATACTCATCCGCTAGATGCGCAGATGACTATCCCACAGCAACATGCCAGGATCTAGGCGGGCTCCGTTCATGGCGCTGCCGTTCGGGCAGTCATGACCACACGACGACCACTGGTCATCTGTACTGGGGATCTGACCATGTGATGACCACTGGTCATCTTCACTGGGGATCTGTCCTCATTTTACTCTGAATAAAGGCCATTACTGGTGCCTCCTTCGTTGTCCCCGTGCCCTGGTCTGCAGCAGATGCACCACAGCCTGAAAGCCATCGCCTTCAAGTCGCATTCAAAATAGCTGTACTAGGTAAAGCAAACTATGGATTTTATTTGGAGCAGAGTTGTACCCGGCTGCTAACTAGTGGACGTATGGAAGGTGAGTTGGCAATATCCGTCCGTCTGTAGACCGGCGGCAGAGGTTCGGGCGGTGCAGACAAAGAAAAAGTCGGTGCAAAGAGACCAAGTGCGAGGTCCTTTTAGCTTATCGAATCAAAACGCGTTGCTCCTAGAAAAAACATGTACAACGAAAGGGGCAGTGCCACCAACACCACCACAGAGCACCTCCAGTATCGCTCCTTAATTCTCGTCTTCTCGCTCTCTTGCTCTCCATATCTTTTTGGCACAGAGCAGTGAGGTTGTACATTCGGATACGATGCCAGGTCCAAGCTACATATTTCGGCGCGACTGCAGCCAACTTCCCTTCGTCCTCGGGCTGACAGGACTCCGAACAAGGTCGGATTCGGAGGTCAACATCTTGCACACTGCCAACCAGCCCTGTCTTCACACTACGTTTGGACCTCCACCATGGGATATCCAATGACCTCTCCTTGAAACCTTCTGACCTATATCTAGCAAGATATGCACAAACAACGTTGATCTGAGCACAAGCGCCCCAGAACCGATATGCGCACAATTCTCAGACACCGCCCCCAGGGTATCAGCGACTCAGGCGCTGTCACAGCGCCAGTCGGCAATTCAGAGTATTGTATCCATCCAGTACGCCTGCTACATTTCTCTTTCCGATCTCCCTTGACTCAACGAACTAGATTTCAGCGATCATCAACAAAGGTTCTCATGAGACTCTTCCTCCCGGGCCTCCCTCAACTCATCCCCAACTGCTTCCTACATTAACTTCTTCTCTAACAACTGATCTTCCTGCTCCATCACCGGCAAGCTCCCCTCTTCCCTCGATTGCAAACGCTGGTCTGGTTCATCCTCCCACCGCCCGCACCCAAAAAGAGTGCCATTTAGTTCGAAAGCGGAAACAATCTCCCCCGAATCCCACTTCGAGACTTGACGTTTGCCAGACTAAGAAGCCCAGGAAACTCCACCCTGAGTCGTCAGGAAGATTGCCTAAACGAACTGCTTGTCAGTTTTGCAAGGTGAAGAAGGTTCGCTGCATCCAGGATCCCAGCTCCATGGCAAACGAGGCACCCTGCTTGTGAGTACATTTTTTAGGACAACCTCAACTGAGGTGCACTTTGCTAATTCAGTCCTAGTCCTTGCTTGAAAGCTGGCGCAACCTGTGACTATTCCCCGCCTGCTGTAGGATCACCGGCTCATCAAGTGGGTGTTCGTCGACACCAAAGCCGGGTTGAGGACCAAAAGAAACGACAATTAGCCAGGGCTCATCGGGCTGAAGGAAACAATGTCTGTGTGTTCACCACCCCAGTTTCAGCAGAAAACTTTACTTCGGATGGCAATCGCAATTCGGTTGCAGAAGCCTCCTGTTTGCCTTAACGGGCTCTACGCATCGCTACCTACCTTAGAATCATAAGTACAGCGACCCCTCCTGTTGTATTAACCATCTTACTCTAGATTAGATTATAAACATATATATATATATATACATATGTCTCTGTATATTCCGGTTCTGATTTGAGATGAGAGGTGCGACTACAAAGCACCAAAGCAGCGTCTCCATCCGAGTTGCCATGTGCTCTTGAATCCAAGCCTTACAAGGAACTCAGAGACACAGCTGGACCAAGTAGTGTTGGCGGGTCGGGAGGCGCACCTATGTGTATGGGTCGGTAGTTCCCATACCCGCGCCCCACAAAACGCGCCCAAAAACTTCCAAAACGGGTGAGATTTAGACGAGTGAAGAGAACTCGGCGCTTGTGAAGCTGATCTCAGCCTTCGGATGTTTGAAGGGAGGTGCTCGATCACCTGATTGGCAAGGCTGCCGGAACTTAGAAGGATGGGAATGGAATATGAAGCGGAGGAACGGAACATGGAGGAGATAGTGATGATAACGGACGAGACGACTCAGAGATGAACGAGGGTGCACCGAGGACAACGATGTCCTGTGCCGTAACAAGCATAAACGAGGCTTCTTGGCGAAGCGGAGCAGACAAGCCAAGAATAGAACGAGTTGAGACTTCTGCGAATTCAGAAGCTCAAACGAGGGTGATAGCAAGCTTGATACTGGTGGAAAGAGAGCAGTATTGGTATGTAGTTAGAGGGAAAACCTGCTGGGGAGGGAACCTCCAAGCCAGGAGGCAAGCACAGGCCTAAATGCGTAGGTAGATATCTGATAGGAGCTACTCTACTGAGTTGTACCTTAATTGGCGGAGATATCGTATGATTGTCCAGTTATTGTAGGTACCGACGAGGCTGAAGAGAAAAAAGAGAAGGATAAATGAAGATGCTGACAGGCAGAAGGGAGGGAGACAGGTAGAAGAAATATGCGAGCTTGGCGAGGAGGTGCCAAACTCAATTAGGAAGTGTCACACCCAAATCGGGTATGTCGGCCGAGGGCGAAGGGTCTCGTTCCGTCCTCAGACGAATGAGACTCCTTACACAAGTTATGGGTGATTTCATCACTCAGCTCATAGCTCACTCAATCCATCTGTTTGATGCGTTATTGGGCTTGCCCTGGATGCAAAACCCATGAGTTAACGGCCAGGCTACAGCACAGGTACAGGTATGGGTCACCTTCATACCTGTAGTTACCCGTGATCGTCACTAGGACAAAGTAATGGCAAGAGCAAGGGCTAATTTGACAGGTGATATTCTAAACATAGCTCTACGCTGTACAAAAGGTGTTATGTGTCCCACCAAGGAATCTGGCAATAAATTGGGTATTCTCTCGGAACATACGAAGCTCAAAGGGTGCATTGCTAGCGTGGGGAGGTAGGAATGGATGGGAACGTGAAGGCTGTCGGTGCTGTAAATCACGAAAGTCTTCAGATGTAAGCACTCATGCCACTCAATGCTTCCGAAATTATATACTGCATAACTCGCTTCCGGGGTTGTTGTTCGG